ATGGCTATTTCAGCTGGCAGGACTGGCCTAAGGGGTATTTTTAAATTTGGTTTTTAAATAACTTTTAAAAAAGAAAAAGCCTATATTAATATTTCATTTTAACCATATTTTAAATTTTGTATATTGTATTAGCTATTTTGTTTTAAACTGGCTGTAAGCCGCCCTGAGTCCACCAGGAGAAGGGCGGGGTATAAATGTGGTTAAAGTTAAAGTTTAAAAAAAATCAAGTTTATTCCTATTTATAATTGTAAAAAAAAAAAAAAAGATTGGGCACTCTGGGAAATAGAACTCATGTGAATTTCCCCCCCCAAACATTGTCTCACCTTCCCTTAGATTTAACTGACCTTTTTTGAAAATCCCTCTCTGAGGTGGGATGAGATAATGATGATCTTGGTTGGGAAACTGCATCAGAGTTTTAAAAGGGTTTTTTGTAAGCTTCATATACCTTGATTTAGGATTCTTAGGAGAATATAAATTTCTATATGATACCATGAGCTGTTTTGGCTGTACCTCCATTAACCCTTTTCTGGAACTACCTTCCTACTTTTTTTAAGCCCTTGCTAGCTTAAGAGATTTAGCTCCTTTGTTGGCTTTTAAAAAGGCCCTACCATGTATCTTTTAAATAAACAATGCTTAATTGTTGATTGTGTTTGCTTCTAACTGTTCTTAGTACTTTTAATTGTGATAGAGTGTTTTATTGTAAATCACCAAGAGATATTAATTATTATCAATAGTGTTTCATAAGTACTAAAATTGGAAGTATTTCATGATAAAATAATTCAGTGTTAAGTATTACAGTTCCTACCAAAATAATTGCCTCAAAATCTTCATGGCTTTGATTTTGTCCATTTAAATGCATAAGATAAAGCAAATATCCAGATAAAGTGGTTACTGAAACAGAAGATGGGTGTGCTGTGTTATGCAGCCTGGAAGTTATATTAATTGCTTTTCTAAAAATATAGTTAGAATCCCAATCAATGGGATTTCCTTTGTATTAAATATCTGATTGTTTCTTTTTCCAATTTAAAAATTTGCTAAAACTGTTTCTTTGTTAAGCAGGAATGAGTTAGTATAAAGATTTTCTGAAATTGGAATGACAGTGAAAGAGAAGAAATCTGTGCACTGAAAATTTGGTCAACATGTAATTCAAGACAAATGTTTGCTTTAATTACTAGACTCAACTCATTTAATTTGCTTTATTCTTTGTTTATTCTGATCCAAGGCCTCCAGGAAATAATACTTTTTATATATAATGGAACCTGGAGATTATTGGACCAACTGCACAGGGCTGATTTGCCCTAGAATAATATTGGGAGGTCGGGAAGCTCAAACATGGAGATGAGATCATTCCAGAAAGCAATCTGAAATGAGATCTAATTAGGGCATTTTAATCTCCACTGCCATTTTACACGTCTTTTGTCTTCCCAAATGGAAGCAGTTGAGATCTCTCCAGCCTAGTAAACATGTCTTCCATAAGTGACTCACAGTTACCACTTACAAAACCAGTAGGAATACCTCACACGAAGGTAGCCAAAGGTTATCTAGGATGCTTGACAAAAAAGACCAAGAACATACTTACTGAACCATAATTCGGGGAATTAACACAAACCTGAGTTCACATAGTAGACTCCAACATAAACTAATCCTACAAGTTGGGTTCTTCCAACATGCTAGACTAAAATATGATTGACTAGATTGCAGTTCAAGTTATTGTGCAAATGTAACCTATCAGCAATCGTTCATCACACTGCCGGCAAATTTCAAAATCACTTGTTCATTTGTAATCTAAGTGTAGACAAATTGGGAAATTATTTCTTACGATTTTTTTATCTATAGCAATAGTCCTTATAGGGGTCCTCTTATTCAGATTGTTCAAAAATTCTTGCTGAAAAAATAATAAACCTAATCAGTTTTTCCAGTGGAAGTATTGCTTTACAACCTACATAGATTTTCTCTGAGATCAATTCTTTTAATATGATTTATTACTATGCTTTTCTAATGTTTGGCTGCTAGTTATTTTATTGTCCGTTTGTTTTTGTTTTTTTTAGTTTATTTTGGAGGAAATAGATATAACTCTACCAAATCATTCAGTTTGGCTTGAAAAATACAAGTATGAAATACCTGTCTTTCATCTGAATGGGAAATTCTTAATGAAGCATCGGGTAGATATACAAAAACTAGAAAATCAACTCTTGAATTTGGAATTACAAGATGAAAGAAACAAATGAAGAAGAAAATGAAGATATTTAACTGCAAACCATAAGGATTGCATTGATCATTTTTGTATTGCCTTCTCTACAAATAAAACCATACCCTGCAGATTTTATAATCAACTATCAAAGTTGTGTTTGATAACATGTTTATTTCATATTGACTATGTTCTTCACTGACAGTAAACACAACGCTCATTTTAAGAATTTTTTTTCAGTTGTCATACATCACACATACACTTTAGACTTTATGCTACTACTATACAATAGAATATAATTGTATTAATAAAATTGAAGCAGCATAAAGCTTGGTCCTAAAATAATTGAAACAATATGAAACCAAGTAAGCTTATTGTCAATTTCACCTTTATTATTATATTTGTTCTTAAACATTTTATAACTTTCTTTGGGTATCAGTTTGCATAGCTAACAATAGATTTCATCTTAATGCTAAAGTTATATAGCAGCCTTTCCTTCTAAATATGTTGGACTTCACCTTCCATTATTCTGTTGATTTGGAATTCAGTGCATCTGGAAGGTTTCCATCTGAGAGAATTTGCCTATATAAGCACAGACAGTCCTCAATAGTGACTGTTTGAAGTTACAACAGCAGTGAAAAAACTGACTTATGACCTTTTTTTACACGATCAAAATTCAGAAACTTGGCAACTGGCTCATATTTATAACAGTTGCAGTATCTCAGGGGTCATATGATCACCTTTGGCAACCTTCTGACAAGCAAAGTGTCAACTCTACAATGAACCTTACTGCAGCCATTTTTGCTCATTCTAGTTTGCCACAAGAATGGAAGGATTTCCACTAGCCTATTTTGCTGTCCCTTGGGAACCAAGGTCATTTTTGTCAGTTAGATGGGGGCATGAGCATTTGGTCAGAAAGCCCACCAAATTCTTTTATTGGGGAACATAGCTGATTACATCACACTGGGATGGGAAGTTTAACTTTGTAATATTGTTTCTCTTTGAAAGGAACTTCAGACTTGGTTTCACTTTTGACCATGCCGATACTATGTAACCAATAAACATGTTCTTTGAGGAAATCTCAAGCCTCGGAATTCTGATTTATTTGGTCTTGTCTGTTGGAACCTTGACACAAAGTCAATGAGGAATCCAGATTAACTTAACAACTGCATTACTAACTTAACAACAGCAGTGATTCACTTAACAATTTTGACAAGAAAGGTCGTAAAATGGGGCAAGCTTACTTAACAAATGTCTCTCTTAGCAACAGAAATATTTGGTTCAACTGTGATCTTAAGTCGAGGACTACATGTACATACATGAAAACTGGCCACTCTTTGTGAAAATGCTTGCCTTTCTGATTGCTCCTGGAAGCCAGTCAAAAACTTCAAATCCTGTACAGCATTTGGACCAAAGTCCTTTTGGCTATATTGGCAAAAAGACAAATAGGCGGATCATTGAAATAGATTATCTTCAGAGTCTTTTCCAGTTCTGTGATCTGTTTCCTCATAATTGGTCTTTCATTAGAGGCTTATTAGTTAATGATGCCTCATTAAATATACATAAAAGTGGATCCAAGAGGTAAAGAGCCTGCAGCAGTGTGTGATAGCCTCTGATATGATTTGCTTTTACTCCCATGGAAATTTAATAGTCACAACAAGCAGAGAGGTTATCATAATTGGTATAAGTGCACTTTATATAAAGCCTTGATGGCTGTACACAGAGTACTCAAACTGAGTCTCTGGCTAGCTTAAACCAATTGAAGGCTTTTTCTAATTTGCGTTCCAAAGGAACTACTCAAAGAATCCTTGTTTTCCCAACAGGCTTGAGTCTCTTTAAAAGGATAATTATTAACACTAAAAATTAAATATTTCATTAGGGAATTTAATCGTTGGCTTTTGGTAAAGATCTTTACAAAATGTTGGTAAATGAAGATTAATATAACCCTTTTGTACTTTCCCTTCTGTGCTCTTTAAATCTTTTTTTCTTCTTATTCATCCCAATTCTTTGAGGCTCCCGGCTCCTCTGATTATTATTTGTGTTATTTTATTACAACAGTTTAAATGAGTAAAGCATATTAAAGTTGTGAACTCATTCATCTTCGCAAATGGTCTGTATTGTGAAGTAGTCCTCTTTACTGCAGCTAGAACGGAAAACTTAGGCTGAGCTCAGCACATAAAAGTGTGTAAGAAAAGTGTAGCTATGTCCTTAGTGAACTCAGCTTTGGTTTAATGGAGTCTCCCCTTCTATTAATACAGCTGTAGCCTATGCTTATACAGTATGTACTTCCTAGCATATCAGCTACTGCTGCAGCTTTTAATCAGCTGTGAGTGCAATACAATCAGGAAAAGACATCTTCAGAAGAAGAGGAAACAGTCTTCCCATCTAAAGACGAAATTAATGTTATGGTTTGTAATATAGTGTCTGTCCTCTCAAATGCTATTTCACTGAGAGCTCTGACTACTAGAATTATTATTATTCCTGAGTAACAGACTAATGTATGCAAAGGTCATATTGAGAACACAGCTTGTAGAATGCTTATATGTCCTTATTTTATTGATCTGCTTGTCTTTGGTGAAGGTAGAAAGTTTAGCATTGTAGATTTCCATAACAATGAACCTGCACCTCTTTAAGAGGAATATGCACATATTTTATTGTATGCTGCCCATAATTACTTTTGGTGTGATAGACAGTTATACAAACTAAATATATAAAATGTACACAAAGTTACATGAAAAAATGGAGGCGAAATTAAAGGTTTCAATGAATCGTTAGGAAATAGAAGCTGTACAGCCAGTGGTGGGATTCAGCCAGTTCGCACTACTTTGGCAGAATCAGTAGCTAATTTTTTGTTGCCCAGAATGGATTTCCGAAAGCTGCATCCACACAGACAAATGGTTGTTCACATATTTGAATCCCACCATGTATGTATAAATGAGATTGGTATGCAATTTAAATGCATATTTAGTATTTATGTGTGTTTGCAGAATCAAAATAAAATAGTAAATTTGGGAGGTGCAAACATACAGATATTTTTCCAGTTGATTCAGTACACTTTTATTTTTACTACAGAGTTGTTAATAAAGATCCAAAGTATGATTGACTCATTGGGCTTAAAATTAACTAGAAGAAGACAGTCCCACAGATGACAAAAAACTGACACTTCTGAGTTTTCAGGTTGTGATTTTTATTCTATCAGCTTTCGACAACCATGCTAAACAACTGTCTCAACATTTGAAAGTAAAGATAGTTCATTACAAAGCAGGAGAAATATGTGTGGGTATTCTTCCAGATAACTTCAACAGTGAGAAGCACTATTAGGAAGTTACATGGAATTCTTGAAATCTGCCATTTTCACTGTTTTTTAAATTTTGTATCTGTAAACAATTGCACATGGTGTGGTCTCTCCTGAAAGGTGTAGAAAGAGGCTGTGTACCATGGAGATGGTTGTCTGAGCTTATGTTCACTTAGGGGTTCATTGCAACATAAATTTGACCAGTTTTGCACACGCAACTGTATTTCCTCAATGTCAGTTTCCTTAAATCAATGCAGACTGATACACAGAAACAGAACATAGTTGGGCATATCACCTGCAGAATTACTGTAGCTTCAGTGATTACGCAGAAACAGAACAAAAGAGGGAACCAGAAAATATTCCAATAGCTTATTTTACATAGAAATGTGAAGAGAAGGCATTATAGAAGAACAATCCATCTGAAGAAAAACAACATGAATAACTGCAATGGTAAGTTCTGTTTCATAAACTTGTTACGTTTTCTGAGACATTTACTTACATTTGCAAAAGGTTTTGATGAAGACTCCTATGATGGAGACTAATTTTTAGGATCAATGTTAATGAACAGAGTAAATAGGACAAAAGTTAAACCTAGGTAGCATTTTTGGCAGCAGCATGGCAATAGATTCTTGCCATTGTTCTTCCAAGGTGTGTGTTTTGGCTCTTACATTTTAGCTTATTTATAGCCTTGAGATTTTGTACTGGTTCTAGCCAAGTACTAACCAGGTCTGACTTCACTTAGCTTTAAAAAAAAAATCATCTAAAAGCAAACCATAATTAAGATACTGAGCCCAATGGGGATCTGGAAGAAGTCATTTGAACCTTAGCTAAGCAATCTGTGGTCATTACACCATCAGTACTTCAGAAATATGTGGGACCTTCTCGTTTTCTTTTAAGTCTCTGTTTGCATTTTAAGCCACGTCTTAAAATGCAGATCAACTTGTATTTTTATTTTGAACCACAGCAGACCCATCCAGCTACTTAGTCGCTTCATAGCCAAAACTAAGACCGCCATACATAGGGACACAAAATAAAAACAACATTTCTAATCAATACCTTAAAATTCTGAAGGAAAATAAGAAAAAAAAAAAAAACTCTGATGCACAAAGCAAAACTCCGATAGATGCAAGAAGTTCAGTTCTGAAAGAAACGAATCTCCTTTACTCGGGAGGAGCGGTGCCACACCCAATGCTCCGCCAAACGAATTTTGCCCTTGCAGCCTGGGAAGACGCGATGAGGAACGGGAGCATCCCAGCAAATGCAGCCAGCGGACGAAGCCTCTCCCCCCCCCCCATCCATCCAGCCAGCCAGCCCCCGACCCTGCCTTTTCTACCTGACGCTTGGCCTGAGGACCTATCCCATCTGCGCTTCCGCCGTCTGTCCACCAGGGGTCCCCTTCCTCCCAAAGGCCATTTGTCCCCTAGCTCTCCCTCTCGCTCCCGCCCGCCCCGTGTCCAGTCCAATGCTCCCAGCCGGGCGAGCAGAAATCGGCGGCTGCCACTCTGCAGAGCCTGCCCCGCCCCCTGCCCCGCCCCTTTCCCCGGTCTTTGCTCTGCTGGCGCTGCTGGCCGCGTAGCCGAGGTTGGCCGCGCTCGCTAAGAGGTCAATGAATTGGCAGGGGCTGGGCGAGAGGGACGCCCCTGCGTGTTGGGATCCCTGTCCCTCCAGCCGGCTTGGGCGAATGATGCGGCGGCTTGAAAGCGGGACCCTTCCCGAGGAATGACCAGGGGTGTGTGCGAGCGCCGGAGGAGGGTGAGTCCTCGCATCAGGCCCCGGGGTTTTCTCTCGGCTTAGGCGGTCGGTCTTGGTGGACTGGAAGGCTCGGGGTTCAATTGCTCAGAGCCCGGAGTTTGCA